TCACTTCATGCAAATTTCTATCGGAATAGGTATCCAATTCACTATCCCATTAGAGTTTCTGACTACGTTTCTGGGGGCTGAGTGTAATTATCGATACCACAGGGACCTTACAGTTATTTAAGCTTACCTCAGGGGGGTGTGTGTAATTTACCCTTCTTTTTTTTGTTCTTTTTTCCTTTGGTATATCTAAGTGGTGGGTGACCATGGTGGGTATGTTAGAAATTTATCGTAAACACATATACGAAGCCCAAGACCAACATGCTAGAATCAACGAGAATTATACAGAAATATAAACACGGAAGCGTACCTTACATCATGGAATTGAATCTTCGAATCGCCACTGGATTTGGGACAGGTCTTCCAAAAAATCCACAGTTCCTTAATTATCTCTCTAACGATGGATTTTAGAAGAGACGGAATGGTTGCGTTTCTTTGGGAACCATGACCCTTTATATAACTTTTAGATAGCGATACGCATTTACATTACATATATTGGCCCACATAATTATTGAAATAATTCCAACAGTACAGTGGGAGTGGTTATGGAGAGGACAATGATGGATGGTAGCGGCGGGCATGGTGGGGATGGTTTGAGGCGAATTCCCAAGGTGTGGCTTGGTTATGAAAGCGGCTATGGTGGGGTGGTGGGTATGAAGGCGCCTGTGGTGGGTGGTAGACCTGACAGCGGCTATGGAATCAGTGGGTATGGGATGTGGTTATGGAGGCAGGTAGGGCAGAGGAGGTTGTGGTGGTGATGGTGATATGAGAGGTGATGATTATATTGTGGTATACTGCGATATTGACTACACTGACATTGACTACTATGAGTGTCTACGGATGGCTGACGGCTAGGATTAGAAGGGGAGTTATGCTTTTCCAATAGTGTGAGTACGAATGACTATAATTGACTGAGAATTATTACGGGTTCCTACGATTGTCTATAGATGACTACTACAAAAATTAAAATAACAATATGTTATTTTCAATATTACGTAGAAACATAAACAAATAATTAGGTTATCATAACAGTGAAAAAAATATAAAAGTGAAAAGGAAAAAACAATGTGATCTACATAAAAAAGAAAAATAATAAAATTAATAAAAATGTTAAATGAAAAACTAAAGATATTGAACGCAGAATAAAAAGTAATACTTAGTGCATATTTCACTTTTTGCATAAGGAGGACAATTTTAAAATGAATTTAATAAAAAAATGTGAAACAAAAGCTTAATTGGAGTTATCATTTCATTCAATAATTTTTGTAGCTACCTATATCTTAAGACAAATATTTACTAAAAATTATGATCAAGCAACATGTCTACATCCTTGTAATATAAAATACTCCTAGACCAATTAAAAAACCCATCTTTTCCAATAAATGAATTATGATGTAATATATATATCAAAGTGATGTCATATTTTATCCATGGCGGACATTGCCCAAACCACCATATAATCAATAAAATTATAATTCCGTTGACCTTATTTTACCCCCCTTCCGATTCAGTTGATTTGAGCTTTGGTGGATGATTCTAGATATGGCAATCACCATCCATATCCCATCCCCTTCTCCGCCGTCATTTTCCGCGCCGCACGCCTCCGCAAGCCTCCGCCGTGAGCAAATTCACGGCGGCGCCGCCTTCCCTGTAAAATTCCCCCGCCGCCGCCCCCCCGCCCTTCGCTCGCTCCGTGTTAATTGCCAGCTAGCGGACCAACGAGTAACACCTCCGGCGGCGACTCCGGCCAAGACGAGTAGAATTAGTAGGCCTTTGTTGTCGGTGTCGGAGACAACCTCGGAGGCGGAGCTGTGGGCCGCCGTGTGCCTCCGCGTACGGACGTTCTACGACTTCAAGGAACCCACGTTCGGCATCGAAGTGAGTGCTATGCTGAAATCCATTTTTCACTCAAAAATTATTGCAATTTCTCTATGTTATGTTTGGTATTTTTTGTTTTCAGATTGGTAATTGCTTTTACATTACTCTTGTTCAATTGAAAGTTTGCCGATCAATTGAAATTGGATAAATCGGACCCGAAATTATCCATTTTCGAATTGAAAAACTAATATCGATTCCGTTCCGAAAAAAATATTCGGAAAAATTGGAAATCGGAATTTCGGAATTCAGAAGGATAGAACTTTGTTCCATAATTGTAAAAATTCGGATTGCAATCGCGGCCACTTTTTAATCACTTAGGGCTTGTTTGTGGTTACCTATATCGGAAAAGTTTAGATTAGATGAGATTAGATTAGTTCTCTACTGACTAATTAATTATTTAATTTAGTATGATGTTTGGTATGTAAGCTTAGATCTTGTATTAATTCTGTTTAATTTTGGTATTATATGTGATTTGTCTATAAACCATTGTAGGGTAAATGATAAAATTACGAAAACTCCAATCATGTTTGGGTAATTACAACAATCCCTCGATTATAAATTTTCTTACACGTCCACCCTTGCGGTTTCAAATTTAGTGGAACTTTCTTGATTATATGGAATATTATCACTTTTGTACCCGTTTTATCCCATTCGAGCTCCACATTTTGAATCAAGATGATCATAAAATGTGTTTTTTAGATTGTATATATCTGATTGTGGTGCATCAGAAACTGTATTTTTACACAAAACGAGTACAATCTCACGAAGCCTAGATGATTATGATAAATTTGACACCATAAGGGTGGATGTGTAAGAAGATTCATAATTAAGGGGTAGATGTAATTATCCAAACAAGAGGGGGTTTTTCATAATTTGACTATACCTTAGGGGTGGTTGTAATTTACCCAAGATTTTATTTAATAAAATTAATATGCGGTTTGAAGGATAAGCTAGTATTTTACTTGTTTAATCACCTCCTATTAAATTAAGCTCATGTGAAGGGGTGCTACTAATTTAATGAATAACAACATTTAATAGCGGATTTTGATTTTAGTAGCAGGTTTAAAAAAGTGTGAATCTTGCCAATCGAATGTGTTACTGACATCTACTATTTAGTCATAGTAGAACCTTATAGTAGTAACCAAACGAGCCCTTATTATACTAAATGCACAATAATGTCGATATTATAAGTGTAATGTTGGGAAATAAATCGGAATTGTTGGATTTATGTTCGGCAATTGAAACCGGATCAAAATCAGAATGTAATATGCATTCCAATACCGTTTTGAAAAAAAAATTAAAAAATCGGATGTCATAACTTTCTTAATTCTGAATGAAAAGTTGATATTGCTCCAAAATCGAAAATTTTCGAATCGGGATCGGCTGAATTCAAAAATTCCATTCCAATTTTGATATTTTTTCCTCAGATGAAGCTGATGTTTTTTCTCCTACTTGTCAAGTTTTAATAGGATCATAAAAAGTACTTGGTTGAGCGCGAATTCGAAGCGCTGAAAGAACGAGTATCGGGATTGAGAAAGGGCTTCAGAAAAGTTTCTTGCATCAATGCTACTTTGCCAATCTCATTAGTTCTTAATATCTCCGAAGAATTGTCCGCTTCTTGCAAAGTAATCACCTGTTCTTTCGATTATATAATTTGAATGGGCCTTTAATCAAATTTTGAATTTGATTTTCGACATTTTTCCCGTTTTGCAGTTTTCTCAAAATGGAGCAGATCGAGTTGTTGTTGGGACATTAGATCTGAACCAGTGCCTTAGCCTTCCGGATGAAATGATAGGAACGAAGCCTAAGGTGTTCGCATTCACATTAATATTTATTTCGTAAGTTTATTTTATAAGCCAATTTGATCGTCTAAAAAGGTCTTTATTTGACTTACTTCAACAGGGAATTGGAGCTGATTTTGCACGGGCATACATTAGCAATGTATGCGTGGCTGAAGAATTGCAACGGAACGGTTTGGGCTACGAGCTTATTGCAGACGCAAAAAGGGTCGCTCAAGAATGGGGTAAGCAGTTACATACATACATATATATAGGGTGAATTACCACCATCCCCTAAGGTAAGGTCAAACTACGAAAACCCTCTTCTGTTTGAATAATTACAACCACCTCTCAACTATGAATCTTCTTACACGTCCACCCTTATTGTGGGAAATTCAACATAATGTTCTAGATTTGTGGAATATTCTCTAGTTTGTACACGTTTTGTGCAAAAATACAGTTTCTGTTGCACCACAATCTGATATTTACAAGTTAAGGGACAAATCTTATGATCATCTTTTTTTCAAACTGTGGAGCTCGAATGAGATAAAATGGGTACAAACCGGAGAATATTCTACATAATCTAGAAGATTCCACTAAATTTGACACCGCAAGGGTGGACGTAATTTACCCAAGCAGAAGGGAATTTTTTCGTAATTTGACATTACTTCAGGAGAGTGGCCATATATATATATATATATATATATATGTGTGTGTGTGTGTGTGTGTGTGTGTGTGTGTGTGTGTGTGCGCGCGCGCCTGCGTTATCTTTTGGCACCTGTCACATGACTCGATTTTTTCGACATTTTTTTGTTTAAGGAATAAGCGACTTATACGTGCATGTGGCTGTGGATAATGAAGCAGCTAAGAAACTGTACATAAAAAGTGGTTTTACGATAGAGAGCGACGAACCTGCATGGCAAGCCCGATTTTTGGATCGGCCAAGAAGGCTTCTTTTGTGGACTGCTCTTCCTATCCCGTACGAATTGTAATAACCTTAAATGTCGTCATAATTAAGACATACACACATTTTTTTGCTTTCTATATATAGTGTCTTTTGTAAATTACATTCTTGTATCATGTCCTGTACATGAACGACGAATTATATTGTTACGTTAATAATTGAAATTGCCTCACGGTTTTCAAGAAGAATCAATTATAATTGTTCGTTTTATTTTTTTTTCCGATTTGGTATTTATTCAATTCAGCGAGTATTTTCACATATTATCTTTATTTTTCACGAGTTTGCTTAAAATTTTCACGAAAAAACTATTCATCCACATGCTTGCAGCAAAACCACCACTACGTTACAAATTATTAACGATGTCTCGGAAACAAATGACAAACAATTTCATAAACGCCATAAACAATGAATTCGCACTCTATATGCTTCAACTTTTGTAGAATTGCAGCTCGTATTTCGTATACGTAGCAGAGAGAATTAGCATGTGATTTATAGTCATCGACCATGTCTTGTACTTGTGATAATCGTTCATCATGTCCAGCTTCGTTATTCCCTTGTCTGTTTTTAGTACAATTAGATAGCCTGTCTCGATTTTCCCACCTTCCGAATCTTTATATATCTCAGCGTGCAAGTCGATTACAGTACCTAAAAAAAACAAAAACAAAATAAATTCGTTTGTATGACGCTAGCAAGTTTTGATATCGATCATCTTTGATGCTGTCACAAATGTATGTTTATATTAAAAAAGGGGAAATTATAGTTTTCATCCTTTAAGTTTGCACTGATTTTATATGATCCCTCATGTTTTAATAATTGAACATTTTTGGTTATTTCCGTCAATTTACCGTTAGTTCGTCAGTTAAGGAAATGATGGGCACGCACTTGATTCTGTTAGTACTAACGGAAAATTGACGAAATGACTACAAGTGTTAAATTTTTGAAACATCAGGGACCAAATGTGATTTTTGTGAACATGAGGGACTAAGTGTGAAATCAGTGCAAATGTGAGGGATGAAAATTTTATTTTTCCAGGAAAAAAACCTACTTTCTTTTTGTCTTGTGAAAGCATTTAGCATGTTGAGTTTCTTCAACTTGAGAACAACCTGTATAATTTGAGAATAATATCTTAGTTTAGAAATGCAATTTAAATAAGGGTAAATTACCAAAAACCTCCTGAACTTAGGCTAAATTATGAAAACACCCCCCACCTATCAGTAATTACCAAAACCCCCGACATTTGTTTCCGTCTTACACCGACCTCCTTACCATGTGATTTTTCACCGAATCTTTGTGATTTTGGTGTATATTTCGTGAAAATTGCTAATTATCCCTGCAGACGCGACATTTCCTTATCTTACTTTTTTAAAACAAAAATTAACCTGATAGGGGTAAATGGTAATACTAACAGGTCGTGAAAATGTTTTTTAAGAAGAATTAAGATTTCGGGTAAGTTATTTTTTGTCTTTAAAATGTAGTATAAAGAAATGTCACATCTGCATGGATAGAAACGGCGTGTTTTTGGATCCCTCGAATCAAAAAGATTCCGTAAGAAATCACACCACAAGAGGGTCGATGTAAGACAGAGACAAACGTCGAGGGGATTTTGGTAATCACGGATAGATGGGGGTGTTATATTGTAATTTAACCTAAGTTGAGGGGTTTTTTCGTAACTTACCCTTTAAATGATCATAAGTTAGCAATATAAGTAATTAAAATTACCTTTCCCTCGTGATTAAGGATGATTGTGACTAACCTCAGCAAATACCTACCTGTTTCAACATTACTTGTTAATCATACACTTCATGGAAATCGGAAGCTGAAAAATCGAATTAGAGAAGAAATGTAGGGGATAAACGGAGCAGAAGTACGTTAATAATTAATTTTCTTTTTCTATTACAAAATGATCATGATAATATTCGTACCGTCTTTTGTCTCGATATTGAGCTCTGCACCTTTGGCCAAAATCGATCTGCATTTATCGAAATTGAAATCGATTTCGTTATTATCTTCAATCGGCAGCACTGGAGAGCTTCCGTTTATTCTGTTCTTGTAACCTCCTCTGGCTTTTAGAGTATCAGCTCCTCTTATTGCTTCAATAAAATCGAACAATTAAAAGATGCATGATTGAGAAAACGAGAAGAATACTTAGGTTCGTAAATTGTACCTAACAGCCTAAGAGACATATTATTAATTCGTCAGTTTGAAGAATGGAATTTACGAATTCCATTGATCCCGATTCGAATATTTCCGAATTTGGAACAATGTTTTTCATTCTAAATTCCGAAAGTTCCAATTTTCGATTTTTCCGATTCTTTTTGGAATGAAATTGGAATTCATATGAGATTCCCTATTCCGATCAGATTTTAATTTTAAAAAATTCCGATTTTTCCGATTGTTTTGCAACGGAATTGGGATTCACATTAGATTCTAATCGAATTTTAATTTCCGAAAATTCCAATTTTATCCAAAAACGACACTTAAAATATCAATATTATTATGTAATTTATATCATATGTGACTAAAAATCTGGAAATTACGAATTCCGCCAATTATGATCCGAAATTTCCAATTTATGAAACAAGTTTTCATTCCAATTTCCGGAATTCCGATTTCCATTTTTTAGAATTCTTTTGGAACAGAATTGGAATTAGATTTCCACTTACGAAAAAAAAATTTGATTTTTCCTGCAAGTACTAATTCCGATCCGATTTCCAAGAATTAAGTTTCGTACTAACGCGTTATAATCATAATTAAATAATAATAATAGTAAAAAGGGATAGTTCGTTACATGTGGAGGCGGCAGCCGTCAGCGCAACTATCTCACCGGCGTTCGTGCTACTTATGGCGGAGCCTATCACACCCCTGAGCTGCTCCCTCTTCGCCCCCATAGCCTCCGCCACCTTTGCGCATTGCGCCGCCACCAAGGCGGCAGCCGAAGCAACGGCAGATTCCTTATTAGTGTCGTGTTTCGAGTTTTCTGCTGCTATTGCCGCCAGCGCAGCCGCAACTCCGGCCACCGATATTGCTGCGTGCACTTCCGCGTTCTGCAGCCTCTGCTCGTCTTTTCGCCTCTGTTTTATTTCCTTCACCCATTTTTTTATTGACACTTGTTTGAATGGGGCCATTTTCCACGTCATCTGAAATCGTATAAATTGTCAAAAAACTCCCCGTGTTATAATTATTTGCAAAATACCCCCCCTCCGATTCAAGTTTATTAGCAAACTATGAACTCTTTTTTTTTTTATAGAGAACGTAAAGTTTTACGATCTCTTAATAGATCTCCGAAACAAAATTTGAAGACCCGTTTTGCTTACTCAACCGAGCTTGCCTTTAAGCAAACTTGTGTGCAAAAAAAATACATCATAAGTGATGTTGTTGCTTATATTTAAAATATGAGGGGTTTTTTAGTAATTCAGTATAACAGAGAGGTACTAAATGCAATAAACTGGGGAATCGAGATTTACCCATTTCCTTTTGAAGTAGCTGTTATAATTCACTTCCGGATGCATCGCTTGCTGCATCCATATCCATGACTGAACAAACGATGAAAAATGTGAAGAAAACGTTAATATTTTCTCCATGTAAATTAAATTAGACTTTGTCCGATAACTTCATTTTTAACGTGGTAATAAAAATTGTTGTTTAATTTACCTTTATATCGTTCGATTTCCAAGGAGGCGCAAACGTATCTCCATCGCCCAACTTTGCACTCTTGTCCATATGCTGCATGTTCTTTTTTACATCGATCACATAATAATTAGTGCGTGTATGGATATACGGACGCATATAAGTGTTACGTATAATCAACTTACCACATAGGGAGTACTAGGATCATGCTCGAATACCTTAACCGGACTTTCTTGAAGAACAAGCGATTGATGATTATCGTATGTCTCGGGTTGCAAAGCTTGAACTGCAAAATTGCACCAAGAATTCGAAAGAAAATCCATACTCTCGGGGTGTGCTTGAGAAAGTGTCGGCGGATCGATTTTCACTAACGCCATTTAATACGATATAAGAAGCTAACTAATTTCAGTTACAAAAAAAATGTCCCTTCATATATAGGTACTATTTTTTCTTCTGTCTTCTAGCCTTACTTTATTTAAGCATCTATTTAAAGTTGCTGTTTTGGAGCTGTATGCTGATCAATCACAAAAAAATAATAAAAAAAAAAAATTCAATTTAATAAAATGGGGTACAAAAGAAGCCTAACCACATGATTACAACTTGTTGGATAACCCCATTAAATGCATTACTTTTGATTAAATTAGAATTCCATGCATGTGTGGAATGATAATCCATGAAAATTTAGTGCCACACTACCTTTATGTCATCTCAAGCAAAATTTAGAGAAAGATTATTTGATGAGATTTTACAGTTGGAAAAGATTATGTATAAATTTACGAAATTCGATTTCGCGATAAAATTAGATTAAATGGCGACGGGAAGATAAGATGACCCGTTAAGCATATGTACACGTTTGTGCATATTATACATAAGCACGAAGTTAAACCTCAATAAATTAATACAGTTGAGACTAGTAAAATTATATTAATTTAGCAGAGTATTAAATTATTAAATTAATTATTTAGCACATTACCATCTAGTCAGAATCAGAATAAATTATTATTTTAGCAAAATTATTATTAATTTATCAAATATTATTTATCGAGGTTCTTCTGTAATTCTTTTTTAGGGAAAAGCTCTTTCAAATATTAAATGGAAAAATTACACATGCTAGCCACTCATGATATGCATGAAAAATTAAATGGCTATGTATATATTTTAATTTGAAAGATAAGAATGTGGGGTTTTGGGGACACTTTGTTTTATATCTTGCTATCCATCAAGAGTTTTGATATAAAATTCTTTGTTATATTTTAGATCTTTAATTTCTTTGTTATTTTTTAGGGTAAATTACACCTATGCAGCTAAGGTATGCTAACATAACTTTAAGATCTCTGTCGTATTGGTAATTATAAGTTTATAACCACACTTCTAAAACAATTACCGGAACCAAGATTTCATGTCCTGGAGACCGATATGCATTACATTTGTTTTCCGCGGGCCTGTTAATGCGACCGTAGACGGAAATCTATAAATCTTATATAAAACAATAAGGATTTAAGAAATGTTTGAGGAGCCATTGTCTCCACCACTGTCTGAAACTGATAGTCCGTAATAACCCGAACGGAATAATTTATCCAATGCATTATTATGTTAGATTTTCTAACAATGTTTTAGGGGTGATTGTAATTACATATACCCAGGAATCTTAAAGTTATTTTAGTATCTCAGGGGTTTAAGTGTAATTTACCCTATTTTCTAACATACTAATTATAAAATGGTCATAAGAACTAAATTTAATGTGTTTGATTATAATATGTTTGAATCAATGTTATGCTTGATTACCATTTTTGATTAAACAAATGTGAGATGAAGATTAGCTTTTTGAGTGTAATGATGTTTGGACAAACGAGCGAACTACTTTTCAATCACAAGGCATGTTATTGATTCATGTTGTCGACATTATGCTTGCTAAAATATATTAGTTTTTGGAAATTTAATTATAGAGATACATAAAATATATATATATATATGAAATGCTCACTATGCTCATGTGATAAGACATTACTAAGTTTTGGTTGGCTTTTATTTATTACCAATTTAAATGAGGAATATTATTTGTTAAAAACATAATTTAGTGTCAACCCTAAAATAGGGAAAAGGAGAAAAACTCTAGTCTTGTAGATGCTAATATGTTTTTTTCCGAGAGTTGTATACGCTAGTATGCTATACCGGATGAAATATTTTAAGACTTTTCTTTCTATTACGCATATAATCACACACCAATGTAGGGCCCACGAGGATGTATGTAAATTATGTACGTTCGTCGGATGAGTTTTATTTGATGTAGCATAGTATTTGAATTTGATGTGAAGTTTTAGAATAAATATCTTAGTATTGCAAGTGCAATGAATAGAGATGCTTAATCTAAAGCAATTAGGTACTAATATTAGTAATTTATTGCACTAATCATTTGATTCTGGATAATTAATTTCACGCCATCAATATTGTGAAGTTTCCAAGCTACTTCACATCAAGCATAAAGAATTCTGCCCAATAAATTAAATTAAATTAAATTGATAATGGATTCTTTCACTGTTTAATCAATTGATTGGGCGGCCCACCATTAATTCCTACTTGGGATTAAAAATCTAAACCAACTTTTGGAGGATAAATTAAATTTTGATAGAATAAACTTTAGTAAAATTAAATTCCGCGTAATTGATTCTACAAGTCTTTTGAGATGCTATCATGTTCGAAAGGTTTTGTAGATGCTACAGTCAGTGATATACATTGGGTGATCATACACTATTAATTTACATATAAAATAGCTCACGTACACATGTGAATGTGTGTTTAGTGGATAGTTATTTATATAGATCTATGGTGCAAAATTACCTGATATTTTTCACCAGGTGTAGAATCGCATAGACCTGTTCGAGGTGAAAGAATAAACTTTAAATTTAGTGAATCATTTTTAAGTTAATATAAGCCATTTAACCAAACTTAGGGTTGGAAAACATATAGTAGAAGGCAAGTTGTATAAATTTAGACAATTGTGTGACTCTTATTTGGTGTAACATGTTCTTTTGGTTTTATTGGTAAAGCACATGTCGCTTCTGGTGCAGATTTTCAAGCTCAATCAGGGGTGTAAATCGAACAAATTGAATTGCATCAGCACTTTCAAAATTCCAAAAGAAAAAAATCATAAGTGAAAAGTTTATTCCAATTTTGTTCAGGATTTCTTTGTAAAACCGATAATTGGAATTTCATAATTTGGAATGAAAAAACATGTTCCAGAGTAGGAAATTTTTGAATTAGAATCGATGGAATTTCCAATTATTTAATCACCTATAATATAGAATAAATAATACTATTGATATTTAAAGTAATCTTATGAAGAAAAAAACTCGCAAATTTTGGAAATTAAAAATTGCGTCGGAATACAAAATCTAATGTGTATTTCAGTTTCGTTCCGAAAAAATCAGAAAAATCAGAGACCAATTAAAAAGAATCTAATATGTAGCCCAAGGCCCGCTATGTGCTAAGGCCCATATTTATTCATTTTACTCAAGAAGATGCTTAATTTATGGAATTTAATGGATTGGGGGCATTCAACCCATAATTAAACGAATCTAAACTATAAATAGTCTAATTACCATTAAGATTGCCTCAAAAAACACTTTTTTTTATCACTATAGGGGAAATTAATTCATTCCTAATCACTCTTATGCATTCTCAAGCTTCTCTCTTCGAGTTTTGAAGCAAGCAGGAGAGTTTGAGGAGTTTCACCAGGTGCACGTTCTCGACGCCCTTATAAGTGTTTGTGACGCAATTAGCGACATACTCTTCCAATTGAGAAATCTGCTAAGTGTCCATCAGTTGATTTCAAAGATAAATTAAGGCGAAGTGAGTTAAATTATTTTTTAATTACCACATCGTTTATGTTTTTCATTATTAAAAGAATTATTTTTGAAAAATGTATTTTTTACCTTCTAGAGGATTTGGTTTTTTACAAGGAAAACAAATATAGTACAATTTAAATGGGTAAATTAACTAAAAGTTCATAAAATTAGATAAAGACAACAATTTTGTTATATCCATAAAATCCCTCGCTCGTATGTTTAAAAAGCACTCTAAGGAATGCTCTGTCAGTTTTATTCGACCAATTTTTCAGAAGTTCAGTGTCATATCTTGAGAAGTTCACTGTTAATTTTCACAAGTTCAATACCAATTTTCATAAGTTCACTACCATATTCAAAAATTCACTTCCGATTATAATGCCGCTGTCATTTTTCATAATATTACTACCATATTTTTGTTAAAATACTCGATTTTTAAAAATTCTTTATGAAGTTCTCGTTGCCATCAACGTCTTCTACATAGATTAAACTTCGACAACACACAGTTAGACATTAATGACAAAATCGTCATCTTATAATTGGTTATATATGTTAAACAAAAAAACTTATACGTCACTACAAGCCAATGAATCGTCTCTACGCCTTAATCAAATCGAAAATTCTGATTTTTTTTTTTGACAAATTAAATCACATTATGAAAATGTGTTATTCGAGGCCTAAACGATATCTTGCTAAATCGAACGTATAGCTACAACAAAATAATAAGAGATGCAATCAACAATAATGTACTAGTAATTAGTCACAATGTGTAATTTATAATTAAGAGACTAGTCACCAAAATAGAGAAACATATAAACTATTACTATCATCCTTGTCATCATCATCAATATTTTTTGGGTTTATTAGTTGAAGCAATAAAGTCAACCAAAATATTTTTGAGAGATTTAATGCTATATATATATATATATATATATATATATATATATATATATATATATATATATATATATATATATATATATATATATATATATATATATATATATATATATGTCTCTCTGTGTGTGTGTGTTTCTAGTTATTATTAATTAAATGTAAAAGCAAAGTTTTGAAGAGTTTCTTGATGCAATGTAAGCCTAATATTAGAAGATCGTCATTTAGGAATTCGAAGAGGCACATTAACCATATCATGAATTTGTTTTTAATATTTTGTTCTTATATTTTATATTAGAAATATAGATATCAAATAATTCATGTCACTAATAACTTAAATTTTTAGATGTAAGGTGGCTGGTTATTCAACATGATATGAGTCAGAGTCATGTTAAATAAAAGGTTTTGTTCGAATCAGTTCCACTTCCCCCTGTTTGATATTCTCTAAACTTGAAATTCGAGAGTTTTCTTCCCCTAAAAACCCATCTCTTGACGGATTCAATTGATCTCAAGCTCAATCGAGATAAATGTTGCCAATAAAGTTCGATCTCGAGTCATTTGAATCCACGCTCTTTTGTCAATTATTGTTGTATACAATTATTATCATCTCTATCAAACAAATGGGCTCTAACATAAGCCAATCAAGAATTGGCCGTTGAGAAAGAAAATGAAAATTGAGGGGTGGGGGTTGGGATGGGGGGTGGGGGTGGGGGGTGGTCCAGAAAACATGGGAAAAGAAGAGAAGGATGAAAAATTAAAGGGTCCCAATGGAAGAAAAGAAGTAC